CGGTGGAGCCGACACCGCCGCCGGGTTTCTGTTCTCCCGGCTACCGCCAGCTCAGTGTCTGAAGTGCTGCCCGGGCTCCCTGCCGTCCCTAGTGAAACCTATGGAGAGAGAAACCAACCGGGCTGGCTTTCCTTCTTTTCCAGAGAACCACAGACCGTACTCTTTTTTTCGATTTAGCAATTTATTCTTGGTAGTACCTGCAGCTCTATTGGATGGAATGCCTAATTCTTTTATAAACGCTGAACTTTAAGGTGTAGTTAGTGCTTTGTGTTACGCTTTCACATACCATGCACTACTTTTCTAGCAAAAATGGGCTTGCTCTTTGATGACAATTTGTATTAAAACGGTATTTGCTATCAGAGAATTGTTAGGGATCACAGAATTGTTAGGGTTGGAAGGGACTTCTGGAGATCATCCATTCTAACGACCCTGCCAAAGCAGGGTCACCTGGAACACGTCCAGTTGGGTTTTGAATGTCTCCAGAGAGGGAGACTCCACGACCTCCCTGGGCAGCCTGTTCCAGTGCTCTGCCGTCCTCAATGCAGAAATATTCTTCCTCATGTAGAGGTAGAACTTCTTATGTTTTGTTTTCATGTATGTGTGCCTTTATTTTTCTGAGTACTCAGAAATTATTTTTTTTTATTATTCCACGGGGTTTTCCCAATAGAAGAACAGAAAAGATGTTCGATATTAAGGCTTGGGCTGAGTACATCGTGGAGTGGGCTGCAAAGGACCCCTATGGCTTTCTTACCACGGTGATCTTGGCCCTTACGCCGTTGTTCGTGATCAGTGCAGCACTTTCATGGAAGCTTGCAAAAATGATTGAGGCCAGGGAGCGAGAGCAAAAGAAGAAACAGAAACGCCAAGAGAACATTGCAAAAGCCAAACGAACAAAGAAGGATTAAATGGGCAAAAATGACCTGCCGTGCGCAAAGAATCCACTTTTTAAATGAAACACTTGTATGTTTTGTGTTGTAACTGTCCTTTGATACCTGATCCTGTTATTTCTTGAAGTATGAAATGTAATACTTTGAGTGTATTTTTTTTCCTGATGATTTGTGTTCAAATTTGCCCAAGTGACACTTATTAAATCTACTACTTGTGGTTTCTAGCGCAGGTTGCTTTTCTAAATTTGCATGTTATGTTAAAAAATTACCCTGTTGCGTAACTCTGGAGGTAATTTGTTTTTCCCCTTAGCTGAGCTATGACTTAACAAGTGTCTTAAAGTTGTCACATCTAGGGGAAAATGTGAATAATAAACTGGATTACAGAAATGCATGTTTTGGCATACCTTCAGCAGAGCCGTAGAGATAACTGTAGCTTAATTAGATAGCAGAGATGACTGATTTCCTTTAAGGACACTGTATATGGCTGCGTGTGCCTGTAATGGCTGCTGCAGTGTCTTTGATGATGGGGCTTCCCTGCAAAATTAACCTACCTTAGCTCTTCCTGTTTCCTGAACTACCAGCCATGAACAGCCTTTAAATTCAGCCCAAACTCTGGGAAACTGATTACTTGTTCTTGTTAGCTTCATTTGTCTTAAGGCACTCATCATGTTCTACAAAATTCAGTACTATGTTGTTTGGTCTTTCCTAACAATCACCTGTAACTAATTTGTTTCTGCCTTCATAAATTCTTCATGCCTCAAAGAATAGCCATAAACAGGGTGAGACCAAAGACCCAGTGTTCTGGCCTAGTGTTCTGTGTCCTAGTGACCTGTAGCACATGGCTGTGGGAGGACAGTGCACATGCTGGTGACAGTAGTTCTTCCTACTTTCTGACCTGGCTACCTTTGATCTAGGACCTTTGAGTTTAGGTGGAATTCTTGTTCTCATAGCCCTTGAAACTCTGCTGCCTTACAGGTTGCAAAATGCTGGTATACTGGAAGAAAAAAAAAAAAGGTTTGTGTAGGAAACATGCCAAAATTATTTAACCTTATTTCCAATTTATGTTTCTTAACAGAACAGATTAAATTTTCAAAGGCCTCTACACGGTCTAGTTCAAAAGACCTTGTGGCAGTCATTAAGTTTTTCTATTTTGCGTATATCTAAACAAGCAGCACAGAGTTGTGCATTTCAGGAGATAGTCTTTGATTATGTTTAAAAATAAAACCTTAAAGTAGTACCATTGTTCAAATGAATAGACCTATAGATCTCGCTGACACCAAGGGGGATCAGAAGTGGGGAGTCTAACTGAAATTACTTAAAGTAAATGTGAAGTTGATCCCCTTTCAATTTTGTTGGTGAAAGCAAGCATTATTAGGATATGACATTTGGGCATTTTATAAATATGTGAGATTATGTCTCCATGTTTTGTATGAAGTGTTGTCAAATATATACGTGTTCCACCTTTGATACCTACACAGCTTGAAACACAGGGAGGAGAACTGATGAGGGATAAACTCCATAAATAAATTTGATACTTTTTGAAGAAAAATTGTGTGGTCTTTATTTTTATTTGAAGTTCTCAAACATTCTCTCTAAGCAAATAATCCATACATTTTATGTATCTAAACTGTGGCCAAAATGATCGAATCATTCAGGGAAGTCCATGGATACACCAGAAATAAAAACTAATTTTATTTTTTTCTTTAAATATTCATGACAGTCCCTTGTCCCAAACCTCGTATTATTTTGCAGCAGCTTCATCAAGTACTTCGAGCCTCTATTATAGCAGCTATATGTAGTTTAACTGATTTTATCCTGTGCAAATTGCTGGCTTAAAATCAAACATTCAGATATGTTGACTGTTTTCTTTAAGTTACAAGAACGTCTCTATGATGAATGCAGTGTGTAATCAGTGTCGTGTCATAGTGATTCCTGTCAATGAAATCAGCTTTTCCATCTGCTTGCCAGTGGAGAGCAGACTGGCACTGACAAGGGAGTTATTGTAAAGAGATATCTTGGCCAAGGTTTGGGAAAATGTAAGCGTACCGACCATTACATCAAAAACAATTTTAAAAATATATTAGTATTCAAGGAAAAAACAATTTAGACTTATTTAGGGAAATTAAGTTAGACAACATTCTAACTGAATTCAGGACTAAATGATGAACAGCAGCTGTCAAAACCAAACTTAGTAACACATCTTGTTTTTCACTAAACCCAAACATTTTACATCAGTTTTTCGTGATTAAGCCCATTTGAATAGTTCTGCAAAAGTAAATTAAACTGCTTTAATACCACTTCATTGCACACTTTCATGTAAAGCTCTTTATGTTGTCTGTTAAAACATTTATTCATGAGCAATATCTGTACAATACAATTGTTCATTTATTTTGACTACTACCACTGCCTGGTGGCATCCAGGCACCAGGCTGGAAGGTATTTGCAGTGCTTGTAGGATCTTCCGAAGGCTCCTTCTTTCCATAGTAAGGGGCAGATGCATGACCTTTAACCTGAGTATGACCTGGTTCAGCAACAAGTCCCTCCTTGTATTCCTTGGACTGAAGCAGCTTATCCTTTTCAGATACATCTTTTATTTTCTGTTTCATTTCTTCTCTATAATTTTCATTCCTAAGAATCTCCTAAGAACAGAGTAGAAAGATAATTAGATGATTCAAAAGCCAATCCAATACTAAATGTTGTAATAAAACATTTTAAACAGTCGTTGCTTTTTTTAACTTTATAATCCCCATTTTCAGATATTTAGATAAAATGTGGCAAAATTAATTGTTTTTCCCCAACCTCAAATTCAATGCTTTTTTAGAATGTTCTTAATATTTTGATCCTATTGGTGAAGCAAAATTGCATTGTGGTGTCCATTTCACTGTTCTATTGGAGCAAAAAGAAGAAATTAAGAAATTAGGTACAGTCATCAACAAATGTGAAAATACATTAAAAATAAGGCTACCTCTTGCATTGTTTTCTGTGTAGGACTCGATACTTATAGCTATTTATCACTTGCATCTCTTCCTGTAATTCACTATGCCTCTGGTATTAGGTATCTGTGCCACAGGGCACAGCTTTGCGAGATACAGATGTGCAACCTTGACTCTGCTAGTGCATAAGCTGAAGACACGCAAGATTAGTAAATAAATACCTAAAATCACAGAATCACAGAATGGATCAGGTTGGAAGGGACCACAGTGGATCATGTGGTCCCACCTCCCTGCCCATGCAGAGTCATCCTAAAGCACACTGCACAGCATTGCATCCAGACAGTTCTTTAATATCCTCAGTGAGGGAGACTTCCCACTTTCTCTGGGCAATCTGTTCCTGTGCATAGTCACTTGCACAGTAAAGAATTTCTTCCTTGTATTCAGGTAGAACTTCCTGTACATCAGTTTCTGCCCATTGCCTCTGGCCCTACAGCTCTGCACCACTGAGAAAAGCCTGAATCCATCCTCTTGGCACCCTCTCTTCAGATACTTGTATACATTGATGAGGTCTTTTCTGACTTGTCTCTTCTCCAGGTTGAACAGGCCTAGCTCCCTCAGCCTTTCCTTGTGAGAAGCTCCAGTCCCTTAACCATGTTTGTCACTCTCTGCTGAACCCACTCCAGGAGCCCCATGTCTCTCTTGCAATGAGGAGCTCTGAACTGGACACAGCACTGCAGGTGAGGCCTCACCAGGGCTGAGTAGAGGGGCAGGATCACCTCCCTCAACCTGCTGGCAGTGCTCTTCCTACTGTACCCCAGGATACCACTGAGCTTCCTGGCCACAAGGACCCACTGCTGGCTCATGGACAGCTTGTTGTCCACCAGGACCCCAAAATTGTTCTCTGCAGAGCTGTTTTCCAGCAGGTCAGCTCCTAGCCTGTACTGGGTTATTCTGCAGGTGCAGGACCCTGCACTTGTCCTTGTTGAATTTCAGACAGTTCTCTGTCCATCTCTCCAACTTGTTGAGGTCCTTCTGAAGGGCTGCACAGCTCTCTGGGGTATTGGCCACTCCTCCCAGCTTTGTGTCATCAGTGAACTTGCTGAGGAGGCATCTGCCCCTTCCTCCAAGTCATGGATGAACAAATAATAAAATACTGGGCCCAGTATTGAACCTCATCACTAGTGACAGGCCTCCAGCTAGACCCTGTACAATTGATCACAACCCTCTGGGATCTGCCATTCAGCCAGTTCTCAATCAACCTCACTGTCCACTCATCAAGTCCACATTCATGAGTTTGCCTATGAGGACGTTGTGAGAGACAGTGTCAAAAGCCTTGCTGAAGTAGAGGTAGACAATATCTACTGTTCTTCCTCACCCATCCAGGTAGTTGTTTCATTGGCAATTGGGTTGGTCAAGCATAATTTACCTTCAGTGAATCCATGCTGACTACTCCTGATCACCTTTTTGTTATTCACGTGGATAGAGATGACCTCCAGAATGAAGAAAAAGACTGAATGCTTTCTTCAGATTACAAGTATATGACAGAGTTAAGGACAAAATAGACCAGTACAGTTTGCTCTCTGAGCAGAACACCATTGCATTATTTTAGGAATGGTGTTAAAAAATACATGTGATGTTGCCAAGAGTTGACATAGCAACTTTGAACACCTAAGAATGCTTTAAAAGGCAGTATTTAAAAAACCCTTACCTTAGAGGTATCATGGAAATATCCCTTTTTATTAGTTCTTAATTGCCTCTGTACTTAAATTCACATATGCACAGAGCAGGTGCAGAACTCTTCATAAACCTATACTGCACGGAAATATACAAGCACACAAACGACTTTGCAAACTGAAGGGGTGGAGAAAATTCTCCTATACTCCAATAAAAATATTGCCAAGTGTAGGAAGATCAAATTTTCAACAGTCAGTATAGCAAAACCTCATTGTAACGTCTCTCAATTCTATCCTTGTTTACCTCATGCCCACATAATTCTACCTCCTCCTGACTGATATAAAGGGGATTACTCCTACAGTGCTTGTATTAACCCACTACCAAGAAACAAGGTCAAATACGTTTGTGATATCTGAAGACTGCATCACAGTCTCTGCTAAAAAAAATGAAATTATTTATTAAAATACAAATGTAATTTCCTTTCTTTGAACAGCTACTTTCTCATTTAAAATCTTTTCAAGTGATTACTTTAACATAAAGTTATCTTAGTCAGGTAAGAGCAGCTGTAACTAAATTCCAAATGCTCCGAGTCCATTTTAAATCTTGATGTATAATTATCTTCTAGTTTTCCAACTTCAGTAAGGCTATTTTAATCAGCTTTCACTGGACAAAGTGTAGTTCTGATCTAGTAAAATAACCATGTGAATCTTGAAAAAGAGAAATTATCCTTATTAGCAAACATAGGAAAAAAAAGCCCCCTGAAGTGACTTGTTTAGAATTTCCTATACAATCCATACCAGAACAAAAATTTTTCAAGTTCTAAGTATCTGCACACCTCTTTTTTAGGCATTAAATTCATGCCACTAATATGTACATTGAATTCAGTGGGTTTCTGGGTTCAATTTAAAGAAAATGTGAGTTGGAAATCTTGAGTCATTGGGCATGTTAGAAAAATTGAGTCAAATAGATGAGTTTTCTTATCATAAACACATTGTCCTTTGATGCTGGCAAGTTCATTTTGTGGATTCTCTCACAGGCACTGAGTCCTTTCTATTTCTAATATTATCACCAGAAAATACATTATTTTCAATTCTCACTAGAACATATACTTTTTTTTAAAACATTCTGATTCTGTTTCTAAATACCATTGGTTCAGCTATCACAGCTGCTGCAGTCTGAAGCAGTTATGACACTGAAATTTCCCTGCCAGGACAGGTATTTAAATAAAAGATCCAAGTAGTTCCAAATCTGAATATGATAATCAACGTTGTTCAAAATGCAAATTTTAATGAAACTATTGCATGCATATTTGTTGAAGGAATTATCCTTAAAACACACTAGAAATATGCAGGATCTTTATAACTAATCTTCCAGATTTGCCTTCAGTTTATCTGCATGGCAATTAA